ATAGTCACTTTTTAGTCATTCCAAAAGGCAACTTGCCATTTTGTAAACATTTTTCAAGCTGTTAATTTTTTTTAAGTACAGTGCTTTAATTTAGAATCTTAAAATTCTCATCTATTGATGTCACTTAAGAATTTAAGTGCAAGATATGTCATTATCATAAAACAAGTTCAATTTCAGTTTTAAGTGACTACCTTTAATGCATGAACACACACTTTCATGACATACATTTTTAAATGACTACCTTTAATGCATGAAAAATATTATTTTCATGATATATCTTATGTCCAAAAACTAGTCATTTTCTTGGTAATGCTTAGCTTTTCTCTATATTTCATGTTGTGTTGCGTCCATTATTTTTCACCAAAAATCATAACAATTAAGATATGCTTTAATTTTGTTGAGATTGCAACATACCTAATTGATCCCAGAGTTGTCTATGTTTGTCAGTCATGGGTGTTCCTTGGTGGCGCCATAACGGCAAACGTGGATCTGCCATAAACTGTTCGGTAATTAATGTCAACATTCTAGCACCATTGGAATCACGAACACGGAGCATTTCACGGACCTGGAAAATGTAAAATTTAACTATGATATTTACTATAAGCCATCTAGATTAACATAATCATGCAGTTTCTTACCTCAGCACTAACCATGGTGGGTATAGACCCTCCATCTATGAAAAACCCTCTCTGGGTGTCCTGTATCCGCCACTAACATGATAAAGCTACCGTAGCCCAGCATTCTGCCTAAAGGAGTGCTGTGTCCACCTGGGTGTGACAGCTAACTTGTTTTGACATAGGTGGGTGGAGCGCTGTTATGGATACAGTACAGTACTTGTAACGATAGCATACATGCATTTCGGAATTGTTTTAGTTTCAGCACTGCAGTCAGAATTATTTACTGCTTGTTATTTCTTCTTGTATAGCACATTGAAGCTTTTTCATGCAGAATGTGTTATAAAAGAATGGAGTTATTATTATTATTGTATATGCCTTATTACATTTTTTTTACCTTAGCAAAGAGAGAATTGAGTTGTTTTCCAGAGTCATAATAACCTCCTTGTTGAAGTAGATTTTTCACCTGTTCCCTAACCTGCTCCTCATCCAGGTGCCAGCAGTTGTCATCATCAATACTGGCACCAGCTGTAGGGTCAGGCGCACCTGTGGGCAAACAGGAAAACAAGATGAGAAGTAAATGCTGAGAACACAGACACTACTACTCATTCCAATGTTATAACACTCCCAAGTGGAAACAATACTGTTTATAAAGTGAAATACAAATGACAAAGAAGACAAGTGTGAAATGACTGTTATGATAAATGAAGACACCATGCACATTAAAAAAGGGTTCTTCAGGAACAACAAAAGTGTCCTTTAATAGAAATGTCCCCAGAGAAAGGATGACCCCAGCACAGGGGTTGTCGGTATATGTTAATACATTTTCCTTTGCTTGGTTTCTTCTTCATCTACAGTAGGTCTACAATTACTTCCTTGCCTACCAGGGCTATTCAACATT